CTAATGTAACATGGCTAACCTCCGTAGATAGTGTTCTCAGAACGCGATATCACGTGTAACGTGATTTGCTCGTTAACCTAACTTCGGTAAGTGAAATATGTTTACTACACGGAGGATCTTATCAGGGTCACGTCACTCCTTCGTGTTTTTTCCTAAAGGAGAAAATTTAACAACGGATTTCGCTTAAATTGCAGGGATAATAGATAGAAAAATGATGGCAGGGTCTGCAGTTCGGTAGTGAACTTTAGCACGAGAACGACAAGGGAACAGACAGATGGCGTCAACTCGTCGTCCGGGTGAATAACGCGACAACGTTCGTGTGGCAGTTTATTTTTGCAAGACGGTTGTCAATGATGATGTAGTGCTCGTAACCACGCCCGCTGTATCTCGATATATCGAGTTTTATTTTTATGGATCGTTTCGTTCATGGAATGATTTAATAACGGCGAGTATTAAGCTCTGCCCCGGGAACGAGCAGACAAAAATAGTAGGGGTGAACGGATCGATGATATCGTTATAACGCCTGCAACTGGACGACTGTTTCAATGGTAGAGAGACAAACACGTCGTCCACGGTGATCATTTTCTCGTTACTTTTTATGCATTTCGATCCTTTTGTTCTCATCGTAATTCAATGAAATTACCGGAGATTCGCGCCGTGAATCAGAGTGCCAGAGGATTTAAACCTTTCACGAATCATTGTAGAAGCGTTCAGTCCCATCGAACGCAATCTGCTAATCCTTTTTTTTTTCATTAAAATGTTTCATTTTAGAGAGAAAGACTTCTGACCTAACAGTTAACGGTGACCGTACTACCACGAATTATTCGTACTGAGTAATTTTCCATCGCTTTTATCGAAACGTTCGATCTATCAGAATAAATCCTGCGTGACAAAATTTGATATTTGTTGTTGGCGTACAATGGCGTCGCGTTCTTCCCAGCGTTTACGATGTCGTGGAGGAAAATTAAAAAGCAGACGGATGTATCGAGACAACAACAGAATCTGCACGGCCGAGCGATTCTCTGGAATTCGAAGAAACCTCGATGTTACTACGGATCTCGGTTACGGAGATAAATCACGATATCTTGCCGATTCACAGGATCGAAATTCATTTCATCGCGAGCGTATCATGCGACACGGTATTTCGAATGTACGCTTGGAATCCGCAACAATAATTCATGTTTGGAGCACGTTCAGTCGGGGTATTAGAACGAGCCACATATCGGTCAGTTTTAATATCGACATCGTTCGCCGAAAGATTTCTGTATCGTCGAACCGATACCGGTGCAATATCGTCGAGCTGCGAGAATCCGAAAAAAAGCTTTCCACGCGATGGAATCAAACAGGTTGCAGAAGCTACTTTCATTGGTTTGGTCGTTTTGATAATGAAGCTCGAAACACGGTGCTGGTTCCATCGCCGCGAGGGTGCCTTTCTGTACACGCGATGCGAGTTGCAAAAGACGAAGCCACGATGTTCAAAAAAGAAAAAATACTGGTCGTTGAAAGGTGAATGTAAGATCGCTTGGTGGGTTTTAAATTAAATTATGTAATTTTAGATGAGCACGAAAGTTAATATAAAGAGATAATTTATATGTAAGATCTGAATTAGTGAAAGGCATGTGGACGTTCAACTGAATCTACGATATTATGAATGGTCCAACTTTTAATCATATCTAGGGTAATGGCGGGCTATCAAAATACCATTATATCCGTCGGATTGAAGACGTTAATTATTCATTGCCTCGTTTCTACCGGCTACATATTATTACATTTTCGTGTTCGACAGACTAATTGAATTTTCGATAGTTAGAACGTCATTAAGTAATCACCATTAATATTTGCATCATTAATCGTCTGCCTATAATCGAACTTTTATATACGACCATAATTATAGAAGACGGTGATATCGAACAAAATTTTCCTTTACCTCACTCGTTACACTATCGATGAAGAATCTCGACCAATAAGAATAGCTCGCGGGTTCAATCGCGAGACTGTCGGCCATGCTTTTTAATCTGGAAATAACGAACGTTTGGTACAGCTTCGCGGTAACGTCGTTCTGCTCGATCCGGAGGAATCGATTTAATTCGTCCGGTCACGGTTGGGCTGAAAATAAGTTGTCACGTTCCTGCACGAACGTGAATCTCCTTCCCGAAGACGAATGCCCTCTGTTTCTTTCGGCGACAGTTCCCTTTCCAGCGAGGCTCGTTGATCGAAAAGTTAGAGAGGACGATTTATTTGAACGGGGTCACGCTGTGGGAACGAGACGAATCAAAATTTCTGATACGATGACTGGGAACCTCCTGTCCCATCGAGGGCGAAACTTTTCCTCGGAGTTTCATAACGCGAAACTGAACGTCAACTGTCGTTTTTGAGACGACATTTTTTCCTCGCTCCCCGTGGAATACGAAATTGGAGATTTTACAGATAAACTTCGAACAATGATAAATATCTCCAAAATATGTCGATCCGCGCTACACCGAACACATAAGCGCGACGCGTATTCGACGATCTTGTGGAATCATAATTATCACGGTATATCGTTCTATGCGCATTCCTTATCACTACAGGATTCAACGTTTTTAAAATGCTTTTAAAGCCACCCTACAGCATTTTGTTATTTTCAGACCATTTTCCTTTCTCCTGTGTATTAAACTGATTGACACGAGCGACGATAAATGATGCGTTTCGCCTTAGTCTCGCGCAGTTGAACGAAACGAAAGATGTATCAAAACGTCCTCAACCGCTCCATCCATTTTCTTCTATTCAGACAACGATAGATTTGAAATCGATACGGTAACACGAGTCTAATAACGAGTAGGACAATTCACGAAAACCGTACATTCGAAGCGAATTTAAAACGATACGAACAACGCTATCGATTACCAACGAATCGGAAAAGAACCCTTGCGAATGAGCGTGTCGTGTTCGGGCGTGACTAAAATTGAAATGATCCGCTTGTACGGGCGATAAGCAAATCGAGGAGTCAAATAAACGGCCAGCAAACGACGTTAATTGGAAACAAGTTATCGGTTTTATTTAACCCGCTGGGAGTGAAACGCGCGCAACGCGACGCGATGAAAATAATTTTTATGAGCAATTTTTCCTCCGTTAATTCAACGCTTTCAATTATACAGAACTGGGAAAAAACGGAGAGAAATTTCGAAAATTGTTTGCATATAATTCTGCTCTGACGTACTTCTGTGTTCAGAAATAATTTTCTAACGTAATGGTTTTTGTTGATAAATCTGCTGTAAAAGCTGCTGGTTTTTTTGGGTTTGTTCAAACCACTCTTACCATGAAGGTACTAGATATTTTTGCAGGTCAAACATCAGTAATGGTATTTGATCGTACATAAAGTTTAACTTGGGAAATTGTGCGATCGTAATCTGAATACCTATCCTAAACTACATCTAGATGTTACTTAAAATTCGCTTCACCTCTGTTTCTAATAAATTAGAAACATTAGCGATCGATAATCCAATATTTGTTAATCCAAATTAATAGATTAATTTACATCGTAGACGAATCCGTTGAAAATATTTGATGGACCATTCGAACCGTTGGAAACGTAAATACCACGTTGAACCAATAGATGCTCAACGATCATGTTTCTGAAACAACCGCGATATCAATTTCCGTTGCAGCACGTTCTAAGTTAGAGCGATGTATCTTGTTACACGTTAAACAGCGGTAAAATGTAATTTTCGATTCATTTTGACAACACGAGATAGAACGAAGCGTTCTCGGCGGTTGGAAATTCTCGTTAACGTTTCAAGCTCGAAACGGGAAACCGAAAACGGACGTAACGGTGGATTGCTTTAAAAATTCTGTAATTTCATCGTGCTCGTTGGTCGGAGGAAGTTTCGACGAGAAGGGAGACGAGAAAGGAAAATATTGTTACAAAAAATTTTGCGCAACGCTATTCGAAAAGGGATTCAAATACGGAGAATAATAACTACGTTCCGCGCCATGAATTTTCATCAGAATGATTATACATTCTCGCTCGTAGAGATACCTATATGGTAGCTCGTCGATCGTGCTTCTACACAGTATGGATCATATTAATTAACCTCGAAATTATTTTATTAGAAAATGAATTTATGGTCAGCTACGAAACTCGTATTGCAGAATCTGCTCATTTTCATATTCTATAATTTAAATCTTTCGAAAACAGCGAATCCAGTTAATCGGTAAATATCCGAAGATCGTCGGTGTACGTTCGACTGATCGAACGTTCTAAACTTGGGTCAAAAAGTGTATCAACCGACCGCAAACTGCGGCAATTACTCGAAGCACAGCTGTAGGTAGAAGTTTCCGAATCCCGTGGCTCGCACGATTAATAACCTGTATTAATTAGGGGTAAAGGGGCTCGGGATAATTTGCAGCAGGGTAAAATCTCGCGGCAGGGCGAGCATGTTGCGTCTTCGACCGCTCATTACTCTACGTCGAACGACGTTTCCGTCGACGGAACTTAGTCGAGGCTACGATCGCTGTAAAACGCCATTGTTTGTCGAAACGACGGGACGTCGAACGTTAATTAATCTGTATCCGATCGTAGCGCGACGGAATCGATTGGTCATGCATCGGTATCATTAACGTCTAAATGTTGTCGTCAGTCGCTTATTGGCGAACCATTGTTAACGGTGAAGCGTGAAACCTGTCATACAATTGCATTGCTTCGTCGATAATCGCGTTTCGTATAGTACAATCAGTTTGTAACAAAACTAGCTCTTAGCAAAATTTAACATTTTGGGAATAACGGTACAACGTGTCTTGTCAATTTGATATGAATTTTCGTAAAATGCAAATCGTGTCGCGATTATTAATTTGGTCAACGAAAAGTCGTCGATATAATACAAGCGATATAATGTTACTGACGTAAATGTTAATTAGGTTTGCTCGCGATCGGATAGTTAAGGCAATAAATGACGATGATAATCAACTCCCTTTAATCAACGTTCGTGTTTGTGAGCTAATGACCCGGTAATTATTTTCAGGATCAAAGAAGAGGGACCATGGAACGCAACAGAGGAAATCGTAACTCCAACCAACGATACGTACTACACCATAGAGAACCTGCATCCATTCACCGTTTACAGTTTCCGTGTGTCAGCAGTGAACGCCATGGGACGAAGCAAACCCAGCATGGAGTCTTACTACATAGTTACTCTACGCGAACGTACGTTTTCATCCATAAAATTCATTTAAACATTCCTCGTTCGAAAGAAAATATTTCCATCCCGCGAATAACTCTTCGCTCCTCCGAAATTTCCACTTTTGCTATGTTAATCGCTCGACAAGGGAATTCCACGGTGGGATTGATTCATGGGCACTTTTTCGGATCAAAGCGAAAGATCGAGAGCGGCTTCAGCGGGAGACTATAATTCCTTAAGAGATATCGAGCGGCAATGTTTGAAAACACTAGGGGGAACGAATAATAGACATAAAATTCAGGAAAAGGGTTCGAACGAGTCCCTTCGGGGCAATCTTCGCGGCCGCGAAAGCAAACGTTTGGAATCCGGAGGAGAGAAAACCCGTAAGAGAAAAGCGAGAAGAATGGTTTAGCAGGGTCGGGGTTGCCGTGGCCTGGTATCGTCGCGAGAAGGTGCAGCCAACTAAAGAGGCGCTAATTGCAGCACCGGAAGGAGCAATGTACATGCAACGCTTAACTCGAGCGGTCCAGCTTAGCTTCCCTTCCTCCCGACCCTCTGTTTCGCCTGTTCTTGGCCGGTTCGTTTGTCTTGCTTGCTCGTCCAGCTTGGAAAATAGGTTGAGCAGGCCGTGTGCAAGCTGAGCCCTATAAATTCTGTCAACGCTGCCGGGATTGGCCGTGCTATATACCCACGACGCCACGGCAAACTTTGCGTCGAAACAACGACGACGACGCCGACAAAGACGCCGATGGTCGTTTCCAACCTTCTCGATTCCCATGCGTATCCTCCTGGCAATTAGCGTGTTAGCTACGGCCCACTCCTCCGACGGAATCAACCATGCCACATTTCACAAACTGAATATTTGATGGACGGCTAAGAGGCTGTGCTTAGAGTTTACTATATGTATACATACAGAATTTACTAGACCTCCTTTAGCCCCTAAATCCGGTTAACCAAATTTTGTTCGCTCAATGGCTATCACAATTGTATGCTGAATTCCTATCTTAAATGTGACACTGGCCAAGTTTTAGATTCGCTAACGAGGTATAATCCGTGGTGATCTAATGCGAGTCTGTATCTCCACAGTAGCCAAGAGCAAATCTAGCTTGTTGAGGGAAAATATGGCCAGCAGCGAAGAGGCTTTCCACGCGTTGAATATGGAAATCTTAGGATTTAGGAATTCACGAATACGGGAATCTACGTATTTAGGGTTATAGAAATTTGGCACCGAGGTATTTGTGGAATTTAGGGATTTAGAGACGAGGAAGTTGGAGAGATATTTTGAAATCTAGCTATTTGGAAATATTCGAAATATGAGAAGAAAAACTAGGTTGCATTCGCTATCGTATGGAGTTAATTGAAAACAAGCACAAGTGTTACGCGGAAAAATTACCCGGTGTTTATCGGGTGAGTAAATGCGGGCGAAAATGAACATCGATTCGATATTTGATCCTGTGTTTTCGTTGCACGAATTAGACCATAATCAGAGGACGATCGTAGCCGAAGGGATCCACGGTGAATCGGTGCTGTTAAATACGTAAATTCGCGTGCACACGAGTTAGTGGCCAGTTCATTATGGCAATAGCACGTGAGATAGGAATAATTATCCAGTTATCAAGACTCGGTCGCATCGACGATTGCGTGACCACCGCGACTCGTGTCAATAACTAATCTAAATAGTATGCAACATCGACTTCACGGTTGATAGAGAACATCTCTTTAAGCTTTGAGCTAGAATTTCGACATATTTTACTGCAGAATCGATTCGAAACAACAACACGGGAGGGATATGCTGAAAACGTTATGAATTGTTGCACCCAATGCAATTATATCCGCTTTGCAATATGACTTGCCTCTGATTCTCTGTTGTTTTTCTCTATATTTCCCTTGTTGTGTTTTCCGATATTCCGAATCGGAAACGGCGTTTAAACGTCGTTTTTACGGTAATCGTCAACAATAACGTCACGTGATCAAGCAAAATATTTGCTCGCTAAAAATTCTACCGCAAAAAAACCGACAGAAGGGTTTGAAATTGTACCGCGACTGAAAATATACGGTCCGATGGAGCTGTTTGTCTCTATGTTGGGTAAATGAAAACAATAAACGCGTTCTCGATGCTGACAAAGAAAAAGTGGAGATCTAATTTGAAGAAGACAATTTTTGACTATCGCAAAAGGCACTTTTATGTTTTAAACGACGAGAAAATACTGTGGGTCGTAAAAACAGTAGCAATTCTGTGGTAGTACTTTACAATATCGATCGCTAATGATCCCTATAGCGGTTCAGAGTGTTAGATTCCGATGCTGCCTCACCGAACGCTCGACTTGTCTGACTAACGATAGATTACTTCTACTTGCGCGCAGTGTTCGGGCGATTCTACCGCGTTTCAGTAGTTAGAGTCAATAATTCGATTGCTCGTTTCGTATAATTGAACTGCGACGTTCGATGTGACATCGTACCTGAAGATCGATGAAGCTGTTCTGGAATTCGAAGCGAGATGACAAACCTTTGCTCGATAGCAAACGAGTAATACGTCAGCCGTGACAGCGCGCTCTCTTCGCGACGAATGAACTTTTTAAAAATGAACCATGTCGCGTTCATCGACGCGAAGCACGTGAATAATGCCACGCAATGAAGTCCATTCGATATCTATCCAAAAATCGATAGAGATGTTACGATTTTTCCATCATATTTTTTTTGTAAATTTAAATTTTATTGCTTGTATTTTTGTCGCTTGGATTTTCTGCAATTTAAACTTTATATTTTCGGTATACGAATATTTTTTATTTCAAAATTTGAGTGCTGTACACGTTTGGCGTCCGCGTCACGATTTTATCTTCGATCGAATACGTCAAAATGCGATACTTGAAACGGGCAAATAAATAGTGGATATTTCGCATAACTTTCCTTTGTTCCCAATTTTGTAAATTACAACTGGTATTCAAATTAAATTTCAAATTCCAAATTTTGAGTTATATTTCATTTCGGTCATGGTTGTTCATAAAAAAGAACGGTAATACGCGTATTACAAAGTAAAATATTGTATTCCTAAAATCAAATTAGCAAGGCTATTCTGTAATAAATTAAAATCTAATGAGCATTTTTTCTTTGACAATTACCATTGCCCGAAATAAAAATAAAAAATGATTGTGCGTTCGAACAGACAGTTCGAATTACCGCGTGTTTCTTTACTCGAACGTTATTTGACAATAACTGCCGGCTACACGTGTTCAGAAAGGAATAAAATTAATTTCGGCCAGTTAATTAATCGAAGCGGACCAAAGAGGAGTATTAATGAAGAGTATAATACGCCATATCGTGCCTCGTCGATACACGATTACTTCACGTTTTCCAAACAACGACGAATCAAATACAATGAAACAAAGGGCAGAGAAATCTTTTAATGAATAAATGACTGTGATCCTGAGGCAATAACAAGATTATTACAGCTATGAAGCTAATAATCGAGCAATAGAAGCGTGTGTTTAATATCGTCAATACGAGTGATGCGTTCATCGAGGATCGATTAAACGTAAATACAGAGGCAAAGAGAGACGATATAACTGGATGGAAACATCAAATACGATAAAACGACGATATCGAGAGGCAAGATGTTTAACCCCATTTTTCCTTCGTTGAGCCGCGATAACCGTATTTGTATGTATACATTTCGTTTTTTAATAACCTTTCCAAAAGTTTGCTCGTAGCTTCTTTGATCTCTGTCAGCCAAACGAGCTTCAATCTCCCCGGGCATTTAGATGCTTCTTCAGAGAATAATTAATTTTGCAACTGGTAAAGGTTCCGCCCCTTTGCAGTCGTTAATGAGACGCTGTAAGAGTCTCTGTCTTCCTCGTTTTTCTTTCTTTTCCATCGTCCGAGTCTTCGCTCGTAACTATGTTCCAAGTACTTTCGAATATCGGGATCTGCATATCGTTAACGAATCAGACGCCTAACGATGAATGAAAGTACCGAGGTCGAACATTTAAAAAAGGACAAACACGCGAATCAAAATTACGAGAAATTCCCGACTCTAATTAGCTTCGCGTCTACTTGTACTCGACGGATCAGAAATTTTTTCAACGTAATTATTTTATACGATTTTTATATCGAACAACGCGTTCTTCGATGGCGCAGTATGCTTAAATTATATTCGACACGAGAGGTTATTATCGACAGCTTTATAAGCAGATAAACAACTTGTAAAACGCTTTAGCTTTAAAAGGCGAGGAAAGTTTGAAATTTTAGGTGAAAAGTTACGATCCCTCTAGCGTATAACTATCCATAGGTGTTGCGAAGAGTTCCAAGTTTCTAGAGAAAGAACTATATACTCGAGGAGAATATTGTTCCTTTTGTGCATAACCGATGACCCGATAATACGTTAATACCGGTAGCAAACACGAATGTACGTTTCATACGCGTTCGTTGGCACAGTTTATCGTCGCCGTATTCAAATTCGCCATACTAATTCGTGCATATCTGTAGAGAGGATGTTGCGATACGTTCCTGGCAGTGTACGGGAATCCTAGGTGGATCAAATGAAACGTTGGCCCTTTCTATCTCCCTTCACGTTTCTATTCCTCGCTCCCTGCCACTTCCCTTTCCTCTCTGACTGTCCCAGATCAATAGGGCACCAACGAAACTTCTCCTACCCCTTTAACCTCGGACCAATACGTACCAACGAGACTCGTTCCTGTTTCCGGAGGTCGTTCGCCTGTCCCCCATAAATATATGGCGTAACAGAGCCACCAATTAGCCATCGGGACAGTCGTGTCGGCGTATACGCGACGGTGTAAGTTTGTTTCGTCGGTTCGGGCTTGAAAATTGGAGGATTCAAGGGCTAATTTTGGTAACACCCTGACCTACCGGTTCGTAATCGAACTTTCTGAATTATGAAGTTGAGCCGGGAGAGTGAACGGAGGGCACGTTACCGCGAAACGTCGCTTTTATTTCCCTTTAGAGTCGATAAGGGATCGTGGAAATTTTTCTGCCATCGTTTCTTCTTCTTCTTCGTCGTTTCATCGGCGATGGAGCGGCGAGAAGAGATGATTCGTAAAGCGGTGGCATTTTTATCGCACCGATGCACCTCTCGAGACGTTCCACGAATTTTCTTCGTATAATTCTCGCTGATAAAACGGGGCTTAAAGTGACAATTTAAGCTTCCGCTTAAATAAGACCGGGGGTAATAATTAATGAACGATCGGTTCGATCGATTAAATGGTTGAAACGCGTGCAAAATCGGGACAAAGTAATTTTATCAGGGTGGCGTAAAAGCAAACGCAGCTGAACATAAACGCTCACGACGCAGGATCGTAATAACTTAACGCAAATTTAGCGGGCAGTAAAAACGCGCTCTGCTCGCATTTATTACGGCGCTGAATTAGCCGACAGAGTAGGTGGCCGGAACCGCGTGAAAGACTTATCGCGTCCCGCGTTTCCCCGTAATGTCTGACCCGCCGCAATGTCTCCACCTACCCGTTAATAACTCTGCTTGTTTCGTTAATTGGCCACTGTTGCAAAGGGAACAATGACTCCAAAGGTCGCGCGAAAATAAAACTAACGTCGACTGATAAAGGGTAGTAATCTCTCGAAGTTAATAAAAATGAAATACGTACTCGTGGAAACTCGGAAATAAAAGGAGATAGGGAAATAAGAACCAAGGACAATGGTTCAAATGCATACTAGTAAAAAATACTATATATTTCGTGTCGTTATTTTTTCAGTATCAAAGGATTTTTAAGTCAAGTGGCTGTACCTGTTAGTCATCTAGGATCTTCCTCGGTTATGAATGCTCAAGACGGAAATAACAAAGCCAGAATGGCAACAGGGAGATCCGCTAAAAAAATAACATCGCAAGCTCGAGTTCATGGTCTCGTAATTAATATTCGCGCGAGACGGTGAAACGAAACATTGTTCAGAGACTTATGAATAATTGTACGACCGAGGGACATCGAAATAAAAACAGACAATGGCGGCCGGTCTAACCGAAACAATTACTCGGACTTTCCGTGCAGTTTGCGCGTAAATAGAAAGTAAGGCAACTACGTTTTAAAAAGTTTGCGCGTTGGTCTAAATTAAGTGCTGGAAAATAATCGTGAATTCTCTTGTGTTCCACCGAATCTCATTCACGGCTTCTTTGAACGCTCGCAGCTAATGTTTCCGCGAAGCTTTTATACTCTTCGAAGCGTTTGGCATCGATCACAGGAATCATATTTACGAGGTTCATTTCTAAAGATTTCTCGTGGCAGTCGTTTAATGGACAAAACATTTCTACGGTGACTCGTAGAAACAATTGGCTCGTTTGCCGATGAATTAAATGGTTAATCGTCAGTGGCAATTATTCGACGAAACGTTTGTTCGTAGTTTCAGCCACGATATTCCGTACATTAATTTCCCCGTCGACTTTCGGTCAGGACAGCGTTCTCTCGCGCTCGAACGCTTTATTTTCGCGGGTCGACGCGACGCGGCGGTCATCTCGGTTTCCGCGATGAACGCTTACTGGCGGACGTTAACGAGCCACCGGAACTTTGCGTCTACTAGTTTCTCGTCGACTGACGCGTGACGCGCATTAAGGGTCTTGCAAATTATTTCTGCGACAATTTCACCTTCCTTCGTGGCGACTTTGCGAAGTTTCCACGAGCACGAATATTAGTGCCTCTATATAACGGTAAAGTTTCGCGAGCGACGCGGACGCTAATTGTTTCGGCTGATGCTCATGACAGAGACGTCGTGTGCTTCGAATATCATATTAGAATGCGCGGCAGAAGCAACGAGTATTGTTTAGGAAATTAATCCGATCGGAAGAAGCCGAATTACGGCGGGATTATTTACGCGTCGGTCGACCGAATCAAATTCGATCGCAGGAAAAATATGAAATTAAGCGAGCACGTATTTGAACGGATCGAAAGCTATCAATTGTCGAAAATATTACCGTGGAGTCTATTGAAACGCGTGTACCTGGATCGAGGAAATAATGGGAAATGCGATTAAGCATACTGGTTCGAGTTTTATTCGAAACGAAAAGAGTGGGGCATAAATGCGATCGTAGCGATATTTATTGCGAACGGATTGTCAAACAATCATCGGAAATATGTTTTTTTTCCCGGTAGAAATGAAACTTCGATAACACCTGGTCATTAATCTGTTCGTGTCGTCATTTTTTTGCAAACGTATTATATTTTGTTTACTACGCATCGATCAATTCGGAATGGTAATTTTTGTCATCCCATCGCCAGAAAGATTGAAAAGAGGAACACATGTTGATAACAATTACATTCGTTAAATTCGGAATTTCAAAATTTCTGCTTACTCGAGCATGCGATCGATGTAACTGTTCCAAAATATTCTAACGAATTTTGCATTTTGTTTTAGCGCCGAAGGGGAAGCCTATAATTACTAGCGCTTACAACACCTCGTCTTCGTCCATTTATTTGGCATGGAAGGCGCCCAGTCTAGACACCATTCAAGGCGAATTTCTTGGCTATCAGATCCGTTATAGGCCACGAGACAAACCGCACATGGAAGAAAAGCACATATACATACGCAATCAGGCCGTTGACGTAAGTTACATAAGAAAGCGTTTCAATGCCGTCTTCATCCCTATCATATTGACTTTGCGCGAGCTCTGTACGTCTATGGTAAACTTTGCGCGCACATTTTCTTGTTGCAGAATCACAAGATACATCATTTGGAAACGTACACGCAGTATTTGGTCTCGTTGGCTGTGTTCAATCCGGCTGGACATGGCCCTGCAACGACGGTTTCTGTAATGACCGACGAAGGGGGTGAGTCTCTGATTTGCACATTTTTTACTATTAAACCATTTACTTCGGTTCGTGCAATTGGATCGATAACAGAAAACGGTAACAGAAATGTATTCGTAGTTTCCCGCCGTTTATCTATCGATAAAACAGAATTTTGCTTATTCCGTACGTACCGTCGGTCGATAAACGGAACTTTGAAGATTCCTGCTTTAACCGAATTTAAAAAGGAAGATTTCTTCGAGAATAGAATATTACCATTGGTCATTAAAAATTGAATGAAAAATGTTAGAACGTAAACTCGTCTTGGCGAGATCGTTTGCAAAAACTGTATAAAGATACAGAGCTCCGTAAAAAAAAATTATCTGTAAGAGGTAAAAATTCTGAAGTGGCATGCAAATGGGAACGTCGTTAAATTTGATTGAACTTTCGCTAGATGTCATTCAGTTTTTACTTTACGACCCAGTGATAAGAATTGATCAACCCGCGGCGGGTGTTTTTATGGAACTCGTATTAAGATCATAACTTTTTTGAAATCTTTTTCTTGCCACATAAAAAGGAAGCCGTATCGCGCGAAACGAGGAGGATACGCGCGTTTTACGACACTTTAAGAGGCGTTTCGTCGACGTCTGAATAATTCAATCAAACGCCGTGAGATAACGTGTTTTTCCTTAATTGTTCGCTGTCATGCGAGATACGAACGCAATACCAATTAACGTAATATTCGCGAGGAATCGATTCTTTCGATCGTTCGACGCGGTAAACGATGACATTTAAATTCATCGTACGTGAACGAGGATGCGACAGTAGCGAAGTACAATAAAAGCGAACGCGACGCTTCAGAAATTGTATGCAAATCACTGCTATTCCGGTCACGACCGACTCTCTTTTCGCCATTTCTGATGGTTCATCTGTCTCTAACTACGTCCCTGATTTCCGTACGAACTTCAACTTTGCCCCCCTACGTGCACGCGCTACTTCTTCGACCGTCACGGGTCACATTCGTCGAATTTCAACCTCTGGCCCTTTACTATTAAATTTTCGCTAATAGATCCGCTAGACTATACGAAGCCTATTATTATACTATCGGCTATCACTTCGACGAGACTTATCAGCATCAGACACCGTCTTATCCGCCGTGATCTATCGATCGTTTTATCGCCACCTCGTCATCTTTTCGTCCCCTGGTAATTCGTGCTATCAAACCGATTACTCGATGTAAAACTTTTCGAACGCTTGATTTCGCTATCGAGTCGCCCGAAAAGTAAGCAAAGTGTAGAAAATCGTACCGACAACGGAATGCTAATGATGCGATTCCGAAATCGTCGGACGAGATTCTTATCAACCGACGAAAGATCATGATGCGATTGGTATTCGTGTCACGCTCCTGACAATGACAGTTACGACCACGTGGTACGAAGATCGAACTCTACGTCCCTGAAAGGCCCGGTCGCCAGCAGGCAGCAGGTTTCCAGCTGCTCTTCTCCTCGTCCATGAGCGGTGGTCATTGTGTGTCGTCGTTTCGTATCCGAGAGAGGGCATGGTCGGGATTTTCATGGCCGTCCGTACGTTTTCCAGTGATCTTTCGTTTCGGAGCGTGGCGCGAATCGTGCCTGAAGCCTCTTAGCCGTCTGTCCGATTTCGATCGCGAATTAACCTCGGTCGACGCGAATTTTCCCTCCCTGAAAATCTATACGTTGACAGAGGGCAGGGATCATGGCGAGCGTGGGCAACGTGCGGAGAAACGTGGAGCAACGAGGACGGAGCGACGAGAAACAGTGAGAACAACGATGGTCCGTGATCGAAAGAAAGAAAAGCAACGCGAGGGTGGAAGGGGCAGAAAAATAAAGAGAAAGAGGGGAGCGAAAGACGGAGCGAGATGGTCGGAAACGTTGGTGGATAAACCGTGCACGAAGAGAGACAGAGCGACGTGGAAGCTCGGAGAGAGACAGCATCGAGAGAAGAGAAGGGAAGGGTCTGAAAGAGAGAGGTATACAGGCTGTCTCACGGAACTGGGACGAGCTGTGACTTCAAAACGGTCGGAGACGGACAGAATTAAGCGGTGACGAGCGATGCATCAACCGGAATTAAGTTTATGCGTTTTCGCGCAGTCTACAATCGTTGTAGATTTTATATACGAAAACTGCAAGTTTAACGATTATTGCAGTTTGCAATTTATTTTATAAATTACTTCGATGCATCTACTTCGCCGTACTCCAAATACATTCTCATTTATGTTACGTGGCTTTCTCTTTTTGGATGATCTTTGTAAGAACAAATCGACGAGTTTTTGTAAAGCGAATGTTTGAAGTGGAGCTGTAGTTGCATCGATACACGGAAGCGCATAAGCTCGGCGAATCACAGGACGTATTCGAATTTGGTCGATCGTAAGGTTGCGAAGAATGGTCCCAGTTGCGTGAAACGTCCCGTAGAGGCAAGGATGCGAGGAGGGGGTTGCCACTCCGTTTCGGTCGTCGCCACCGGCGCGCCTCTTCGTCCCACGATCGATTTTCCACGATTTTTCACTCCGACGTGCGGTGCCTTCTCGAGGAACAAGAGTGTCGTCGTAGTACGTGGCGAACGCGAAACGACAAAGTCTCCTCTCGTCTACGGGCGTGAAGAAGAGGCGATAAGCGAGAGAAGAGCCGAAGGGAAACGGAGTGAGCGCAACGCCAATAACGCGCACACAGTCGCGCCTTCTTCTCGCTCGCGAGCGTGTAGCGCGTTTCTCTACATCCCTTCTCTCGTCCGTCTCTTTCTCGCTCGTACTCGCTCCCTTTGGCCGTCTTTATTTCCCTCGCACACGGTCCGTAGCGCACGTGTATGCCGGTTTATCAAAGCTCGCTTGTGCACTCGTCGGTGCGGCCGGTCGCGCGCGCGCGTCTCTACCCTCTCGCTCGAACCGCGTGTACGTACGTGTGCCGCGAACACGCCAAAAGAGAACCGTGTCTGTCGGAGCGTGAGTTTCTCTCCCTCTCTCTGTGCTTGTCCGTCTGTTCTCTTCCCGACTGGAAGCAAGTCGGAGAAGCGAGCGAACAGAGGCTGACGGAGCCACGGTTTCCACGCGAGCAGAAGCGTGTGTACGTCGTCGGTAGTGGTCGTGGGAGCCAGTCGTGTGCGTGCCAGTGTTCGTGTTCCTCGCGGAGGGCAGTGCGTTTTGTCGCTTTCGCAGGATCGCTACGTTTTCATAGGCGACGACTCGCTCCGACGTTCGGGGAACAAAATCTCGTTCGAAAGAGGAAACCGTTTTACGCGGTACAGGCGAATTCGCGTGCGAAATGGCGTTTGATTCGTCGCGCGAACGACGCTCCTCTTGTGCCAGTGACGCTTGAGTGTGAGAAAGTTTCCAGTGATTCGTTCGCTGTACCGGTTCGATCCTTTTTTCGGATCGGGACGCGAAACGGGAAGCGAGGAATCTCGTGGCGAAACGATCGAGCC